GCTTTTCCCAGCCTCAGAAAGCCCCCAAAAGATATATTCATTAAAAAGAACTTTAAAAGTCACTTGGTGACCCTTAGCAGAGAAATACAAATTGTTTTGAAAGAAAACATATTGGTTTATAATCTTACCAAGTAACATACCTTTTACAGTGTATTGTCGGATGTTTTCTGCTTGGCTCTCCAATTAAGATCCAATATTCTACTTCTTGCTGCAAGACACGACCTCTGTTCAATAGAAGATACAATCCTAGTAAGATTTATTGTGCATACTAAAAAGAAAAAGAGAGATTAACATTCTATTGTTCTTTTTAAGAGCTTCTAACATTTAAAATTGTTTCCTCAGCCAAACTATAAACCAGCTCCCATGATACAAATAGTGATTGCAATTGCAGACAGGGAAACTTTTTGTTTCACAAGGCCTCAAAGCAAGATAGAAGCTGTTGCATATTATTTGGGAAAAAGACAGATCTTAATAAAAATGGTGTTACTTGGATGAAAGGCAGTCTAGTGTAAGATTTTACATATATATTAATGTTTACAACAGAAGTAAGAGTTGTGGAAAGCCACACAAAGTTGGAACAAATGTCTTCCTCCCTATCTGTGATGTCTAATAGAATCACAAAAGAGCCCCTTCTGCTATTTTTAAACTATACCCCAGCTGACAGTTGTTACTAACCGCTGTAGGGTAACCTGTATGAAAGCAACTGGTAACTTCAGCTGCTTCCTCCTAAGCATCCAATACCACATATTAAAAACCAAACCCCTCAACCAATACTAGTTCAAGTTTGTGAGCAACTTCCAAGAAACTCAAAGCCTGCAGTAACCTTATCAGGGAAGATTTGTGGCAGACATCAGGGCAGACTGATGAGATACAGAGGATTGTTCTGTGACTTCCTGTGTCTAGTTATCCCATGAAAAACTAGTTTCAACCATGACAAAACCTGAGATTTTTCTGCCTAGGGTATTAGAGAGCATATGGCCTTACAGCTTGCAATAATTTGCTTACTTATAAAAAATTCCCTGTAAAATTACAATGTATGCCATCGTTGTAGAGATGGGAAACCAAGACACAGGATAGATTAATTGACTTACCTAAAGTCACACTGGAAGTCTGTGGTTGAACTGGGAACTGAACCCAGGTCTCCCGAGTCCAAATCCAGCAACCTAAGATCATACAGGAAGTCTGTGGGTGACCTAAGAACTGTCTACTAAGCTCAGCCTAGCAACCTATCCATCCATTTCTTCTGGAACTTAAACATTTCTTAGCTTGATTTTTAAAGAAGAGCTATCCTTTGTAGCTAGAATGCAAAATCAGGCAAACAAGAATGGCTGCAGAATCTTTTGATAGTGTTTCTGGAACCTAAACATATTTTTTCCCAGTAAGATATGAGAAGATATGAAGAGAACAGGATGCTCTTCTGGTCTGACCTTCAGCCTAAAATAAGGCTATAAAAGCTCCTTGAACTCATTACTTCATGTTACATTGTTAGAAGAGATCTGTTGTTAGGAAAAAAAAAGTGCCAATATTGATGTAAAAATAACAACATCACTAGTGACTGAGAATCCATTTCAACTATGAGTAAAGTATTGAAATTGTTGGGTTTGCTCATTACTAAATATAAATTCCAACTAGATATAAAGCACGTTAAGTTTCCATACACTGGACCATATTATTTCTCAAATGGAATTTTTGATCTAGTAAACAATTTTTTTTTTTTTTTCCACTTTGCTCTTCCAGTGCAGATTATTAGTAAGTGATCAAGCAAGCCAGCCATTAACCTTTTGGTAAACTTAAGCAGACTGATGTGTTGGACTTTTATTTGGCGTGTATTTTCCACACTCTTCTCACTCACATGGCACGCCAGTGAATGCAGTCCTAATAAAATCTTCTGTATTCTTTTGTGCATATACTAAAAGCTTTCACTAACCCTATGGTCACACTCACATAGGGAACAAATTAGATTCAGATGATCATGCTTTATTACCTCCAAACAATTACCATTTTGAACTCTAAAAGCAGAGCTGGCATTCTCCATTCCTCAGTGTGACTCTACATCTTCAACACAGCCAAAGGCAGACTGCTTGGTAAGCAAAGTGCAAGACTGAGGTTCACCTTACACCAGCGACCTACTCTTCAGCATTCCCCACTATTTGTATCTGCTAATTTTGTCAAGGATTGTCTTCTTATGCTCAATAATACTAACAAATACTGACCAACAGCTGAACCTTGAGAAAGTCCAACAGAATCCTCCAGAAAACACTGTGTTTGCAACTACTTTGGGAGAATTAAATTTAACAGGATTCTGTGAATGAGGTAAAACAGACTACTCTCAGCAAGTCATACAGCAGCAAGTTAAATGCCTTACAAAAGCTAAGATAAATTGCCTCAAGATTATGAAATTTTTCAAACTTTGAATTCATGTTTTTAATGCAGGACTTTCCCTAAATTCAGTATGAACATCAATGCCATTACCCTCTTTTAAAACCTGTATTTAATTGAAACCTGTATCAACTATTCCATTATTTTATCCTAAGTATGTCACCCTGACAAATCTGAAATTATTCAGGTAATCGCATTTTTATTCTAAAAACAACTGGCATATTAAATTTCTCCTGGTCTTCAAGAAGCACTCCAGCATTCCAAGCATTGTTTAAAAAAAACATACTACATGATAGTCCAGAGACCTCTTCTAGCTTCTCTCCCCACACCCCCCACTAATTCTCGGTTACAAATTATTCGAGTATCTTTACTCTTCTAAGCCTTACACTCCAGCAGTTGCAGTTTATCATCATTGCTAGTCAACACTGCAAAAAAAAGAAGAGGTATGTAGCCACCATCCTGCAATACCTACACATCCCTTGTTCTCACCATACACAAACATTGGTTTCTGTAAGTGCAGATTTTATCATGTCCACTTTGTAATGGATTAGTATCACTGTAGGCTTTTTGTTTCTAGTTTACAAAGAAAAGTCCTAATACACACACACTCTCTTACTTCTTTTATTTCCCCTCAAGTTCTCTGGGAACAGACTTTCTTCATAATTAGCTGACTTTTTATTGGTTCTCCTTAAAAAACACCTGGCTTTTTTCAGTCCATATGGTTCTATTTTTCAGACTAGTTACCTTCACTTGTCCTTCAAGTAAATAACTACCTTCTCTGTATCTGGCTACAGTCTCTTTAAACAGTTTCTTAGTACCATTAATAGTTTTCTGTTTAAGTTCTGTCAATCTAGTCTGCTTAGCTGTGTTTCATTTTAAGTCAATCCTTTCAAATCACACAGCAGTGCTTTGCTAGTTCAGACATAAACGCTTTTACAACATACACTGAAATTTATTTAGGGAGAAATATGGTCAACTTGGAGTAAATTTTTCTGTGCATTTCCTCCACTAACATAAGCATAAACACAGTATCTTACCGATAGGCTTTACTAGCTTTTACTGGGGTTGCTTCAAATCCAATTGGGCAAAAATAATGGTTTTGGCAATGGTAGATGTAGGCCATTGATTCATCTTTCAGTCCACGGGTTAGCTTTGCAAGGGCCCCTGCAGCTACAAAGAAAGATCAGGTTACAGTCCAGGATGCTTTGGATCCTGCATTACATATTCAGCAAAAAAGACCTAATAGTTGCACTGCTTTTTAAATTAGAGGACATGACCTGGCAGGCATGCACAAAACCCAGTTTTGATTCAAACTTCTTAGTATTTAATTTCCTGTCCAGTATAAAATTAAAAAAAAAAAAAAAAAAAAAAAAATCACATCTGCCACACAGTCTGTACTAGGGAAATGCAATATGAAGTATGCACTGTATTCAGATCAAAGTCATATTAAAAATTACTTGTTCTGCAAAGAAAAGAATCAAAAGCATCTCTTAACCTAGGAAATACACACCGCAACACAATGCAGTCCTACTGCCCCAAGTCAGACGTAGCACAGATCAATGATACTACTGAAACCCCTGAAAGCTTTCAAACATTTCTGTATCATAAGCTCCTTGGAGCTTCCTAGTCTCAGAAACACATGCCACATTTGGGCTTACAATATTCTGTAACGTGGCTGCAGTGCTCAGTTTCATGAAAAGACAAGAAAAGGCACTGAAACATGATAGAATTCTCAAATGGGATATCAAGAACAAAAAAAATAATGAGTTCACTAACTTTAAAACTGCATTTTTTAAAAAGAATAAAACATTTATTCATAAAACTCCATCCCTGGCAGTGTTCAAGGCCAGTCTGGATGGAGCCTTGAGCAACCTGGTCTAGCGGGAGGTGTCCCTGCCCATGGCAGGGGGGTTGGAACTAGATGGTCTTTAAGGTCCCTTCCAACCCAAACCATTCTGTGATTCTATGATTTATTAATGACATTAATACTTTTGTGCTGTACATTCTAAATTTTTTATACAACATAGATTTCTACTATGCTGAAATAAAAACGTGTCGCTCCCCCATGTATTACAGCAAAAACATCTTCCAGGACACCAACACAGAACTAGAAGCGCAGAGACCTCCCGGATACCTTAAAATTCCAGTTCTGTGAGGGCAGAATATATAGCACAAAATATATTTTAATTAAAATAAAGCACGAATGAAAGTCTTAGTAAAATAAGAAAAAATAAAACTAGAAAAATCAGGCAACTGGGAGCTATTTGATAACTTACCTCAAACTGGAAGCACTACTTGCAGAATTTGTCCTGTCAAATGTTACACACTGCAGGATTTTTCAGTTTACACACTAGAAGATGAATGCTTTAGGATTAGCTACGTACCAGTTTCTCCAGCTGTCTTGTTCTTCCCATGAGGTTTATACAGAACGTACGAGCATCCCTTGATACGGAAGTGATCATTTATTTGCCTAAACCATCTGAAACAATAAGCTTAAAGATTGTAGTAACTCAAGAGTTATAAAGCACAATTCCCTTTCCTCTCACATTTCCTCTGCTTGACAATTTAGAAGAAAAATCTTGGTGTGCTACTAAGTGTCTGCCACACTAGTATATAGATTGGAGATGACCATGGTACCCTAATGCAAACAATATATCCTAGAGAGATTAATAAACACTTGAAGACTTCTCCTTCATTTTGCTTTTTCAGACCCGACACAGATCCATAATAACCAAAGGGCCAGATGTGAAACGTTGGTCCCATTGTGCTCAGTCCCCTCACCACTAACTTTCAGTTACTTAGTCTTTAGAAAGGCACTCAAATTCTGAAGTGCCAAACTTCAATTGTGGTTTGCAAGCTCCACAAAGGGAATCTTCTAAGACACCAGAAGACAGGACCCTTCAAGTGAGACTTTCTGTGTATCACGTCGGGCTTCTGTCACATGAGCTTCACAATGCCCAAGTGCTACAGGAGTCCCATACTGCAGCTCCTCACAGCAGCAGTAAGTGAGGACAGGTCTGCAAAGAAGATTTTGTCTCGGATATTCACATTAGAAGATCCAAATTAGTATCTCTGAAGATAATAACTCAATCAAAAAGCTATGTTGGATAATGGGGTTGGCTCTCAGCCCTCCTGTTTTCTAGTCTGCCAAGTACTTAAAAATTATTTTATCAGGCAGAAAAAACCCAAACTAGTAAGGGTGACTTTTCTGCAGCGCACAGGGCACTCACAGGGGAAAATGAAGAAGAATTACAAATTTAACTTTCATCGGTATAGATTGGACATAGACAGAACAATTTATTGGCTTGGTCTATAAGGGTTTGCTATGCCCTGACATACTCCTGAAGAGATACAAAATCCGGATCCGAGTCTCCTAAGGCAGAGAAGGAAGTTTTCATGACACTCTTCAAAGATCTAGCCAGTATGTTACCACTAAAGAACAGACTGCTGCCACTTTTTCAAATCCAGCCCCCACGTTCTGTGACAAACTCTATATATAATCGCCTTCAAAAAACCACTAACTAGATCAAATGCAACCCATGAAACAGGCAAGAACACTGCAAAATTTTTAAATCTCACAGAAGGGTAACACGCCAAAGCCCTGTCAAGATGTTCAACACTCAAATACAATATGCTCCTGGCCCTGTTTAATCTTAAAATCCCTTGTGAGTTTAATAACACACACACACAAAAAAAAGTACAAAGATTTTAGACCTGACTCAAAGATCAAGAAACAGCAGAGCAGAAGTGAAACAGAATCTGAAAGTTCAAGTGTTCTGTGACTCCAACCCCATCTTTTCTTTTCTTTTTTTGTTTGCCCCTCTCCTCCTCCTGAACAGCTCCACTGAGCAAAGGTGAAGGCCTCAACTCTCATTTTCAATTTTTACATTATTTTTTACATAAAGCTACTAGTATATCAATTGCCTCTTCAGGCTGTTCCAGTGACATTAATAGGCATTTAACATGCACTTTCAAAAACAGGAAAACGAGTGTAAAGAAAAAATTTCCTAACCAGGAGACAGGATTCATTAGATCATTACACAACCATTAAACAAACATTTCAAGTTCTCCTGATCCATGTAGCAACGCTGCACTATACAAAATGGCTAGTGCAAAAAACTTTTTGAAAAGTTTCTCTGGACACTATCAGAGTACCCAGGTATGCTTCGTTATTCTAAAACTTAAGAGGATTAACTTGTGTCAGCTGATTTTTTTTTTTTTTTAAATAAGTGAACCGCTACCGTATTTTTAAAGGTTATGTTAGTTTTGCAAACATTAACAATTTAGCTGCATCAAAAGAACCAAACATACCTCATTAAAGTTGTATTTCCAGTGAAGGGACCAAACCTAATCTCCTCAAATGGGGGCTGAAAGCCCAATATATGCAAAGCTTCTTCTTGAGTAATAGGTGGTAAACTGAGGGGGGGGAAAAAGGTATTGTTTAATAAAGTCATTAGCAACGTATTTTAGACTCTCCAGAAGCAAAGCAATCTATGTGTGACGCACCTTCCAGCTCCCAGTGTACTATATAAGAAATTCCAGCAAGACACTAAGGATGAAATTCCACAGGAAGTCTTGTACTGAGGTCGGCTGACACAATACCTAAACCAAACAAAAACCCAAACACATCAGTTAGCATTCTTGATTCAGGTACAAGAGCAACCTGAACTACTTTTCTGTGCGCCATGCCACTGAAGTGCCATGTTACATTAAGTGTTTTTATGTCACCTGTATTAAAAAAAAAAAGGCATTCTTTTTTAAAAAAATAAAAAATAAAAACAGAGCAAATATGCTAACCAATTTATTTAAGTTTGTCAGACACTACTGCCCTATTTCATACAAATCAGTCAAGTTTCCAACAGCCCCTTGGGAGTTCTGTACAAATGATTCTGTAGGAAAAAACGGTTCTGCACTAATATAGCGCACGGTTTGATCCAGTCTCTTCTAACACATGAATTTGTAGTAAACTGTGTCTCTACCAATTTACTAATGAATGTCATTCCAGGTCACAGATTCCCCAGGCTCTTAACTTTCTGATGTCATCGACATACAGCAAGAACCAGACGGATTCATTAAGCTAAGTGAAGTCAGTGCAGTATATTTATATGATACAGGTTGTATAGAACTGACAGGTTCTGATCAAGTGTTTCCCAGCAAAAAGAAAAATCAGGAGTAAGACACATCAGTGCTACGGTTAAGGTTACTTTTTCCCTGACTATGCTAATGAACTTTCATTTTTTTTTAGCAATTAATCCCCACATAAATATTTTCATATTGAAAGAAAAAAATGGTTAGAAAGAAAATTGGGTTTAGAATTTCAACAGATGGGAAGAAAGTTCTCATTCTTCTTGAAGAAAGTAAGAGATTTAGTGCACGTACGCTTAAGAGATCCCCATTTCTACTAAAAAAAAAAAAGTATGAAGATATTATTAAGAAGTTTGAAATCAGGTAACCAGCAACAGTGTTTACTGACAAACTGTACGGGGATAATCTTAAATACAATTCATAAATACTACCATCTCCGGAGGTCCAACACTTTCCTCTCCTTCACATCTTCAAGAGCAGAACGCTGAGGACACTCCCTGTACTGTTTGCTTTTTTTGTCTACAGATTTTTTCTTTGTCACTTGTTTCTTCATGTTGCCTGCAAAACAGATTTAACAAACAAATGAATGCCTAGTTTACCTTCCAGATCTTTCTTCTTCAGTATTTTTAGTAATATCATACACCTCAGATAGAGATGCCTTAGTAAGTGCAAACTGGGACTAAACGTTAATTGAAGGAAAAAGCTCAAATGCATAATCACAATTGTGAACAGGTTCATAAAGCTGCCATTAGCTCCATAATCAGCATTGTGTTTTTCTGATCAGAATTAATGATGACCTGCCCAACTGTTTGGAGAGAGCAGGCAATCTGATTATTCTAATGCGTTAAACCAGCCATCCAGAAATAGACTCTCAGACCAACACGGACTTCCCCTCTCCTAACATTAAATGCTCTGGGAAATCTAATGTAACACTTGTTTTTCACAGCCAAGCTCTGTAAACAGCTACACTTTCTAATTAAAACTTCTATGCAAATCCAGTAAGAGTAACATACTTCCAAGGTCTCTTCCTTTTTGTAAGCCGCTGAGGCAGTGGAAAATGAAGCGTTGGGCTACATGCTAGAGCAGGAGTATTTCTGATCCATTTTGAAGCCAAATGAAATATATCACATATATTTTAGCAAAAATGACCATCCTGTAAGATAATACAATTTCTTTATTTTTATTTAAGGACACTACACATGAAAAGGCAACAGCATCTTGCCAAACATGTTTTTAGGTTTCATATAAGGTAGAGAAAATAGCAATTTGACTAGCTAGCCAACCCATTAACAAAAAAAAAAAAAATCTACAGCCTACTCTAGATAAGCGGAGGGATTACAGGACAAAGAACACCGAGTGTGTATGCAAGTGCTTGATTCACAGTTGCAACCTGTGACAAGGCAGAGAAAGAACACAGGAGGCAGCAAAGCAGCCAGTTTTAAAGAAATGGGCTCCCTAACACTGTATACATACAGCAAATCCAAATAAATACAATTCTCTTACAGGAACCAAATGCTTTGCTGGGTAACTGTAATGATTTCACTTACTTCTTGTCATAAACAAATCAGGGCTTTAATTTCAAAATACACCTTGGAAGTACCTTGAAACATTTCTGCAAGTGACAAACCTGTTACCTAACAGGTAGAAGTAAACACTGCAGAGTGCACTAGGTCCTACTAAAAGAAAGAAAAACATACCCCAAAAAAACAAGAGAAAAAGACCCAAACGCACACAAACAGAAGCCACCCCAAACAGTACCCCCCCCACAGTTAAGCAGAAGCCAGCCTTGGTTTGGAGCCACTTCCCCAGGCAGCTACACTTCACTTTCACTCCTCCTATCTCACTCTCCCTGCTCCCAATGAGTAGGTTGTTTGAAGTGACGTCCAGGCTCTTCCATGGCACTTCTTCAAGAGATACAGGTGCTGGCCAGGCCCCTCCACAAACAAGTTGTAAACCTGAAGCCTCTTCCCATCACAACATCAAACCTTCACCACCTCACCTGCTTTGTTCTTCAGATTTGTGGTCACGCCATTGAACTCTGATTTGTCGATTTCCCATGCCAGTGGAAGCTTTCCAAGATCACCAGGCAAGCTTTCCAGGTTAGCATCTTCACTGTAGATTATCTCTGAAGCACCAGTTTGAATTCCGAGCAAGCCAGGTGTGTTATTTCCAATGTTTAAGGCAGCACTGCCCGACAGGCAGGCACTAACTGAAGCACTTGGGCTTTTACAAATAGATGTTACTCTGTTTAAAAAAGCATAGTCTGAGCAGATGGTATAAAATTTCTCTCGTGTATGAGTCACAGGACATCCCCACGGGTAATGCCCATCTCCCCTAGACACTAAGGACGCAGTGGAGGAGCCTGACACACAGTAGGGCTTCATAGGATCATGAAGAGAAGCTTCTGGGGATTCCTTCCCAGGTTTATTTTCATTGTTTCCATTATTTCCAGAACCATTCTCCTTTTCATCTTCTGAAATGTTAGGCATTGAATGATACTGCAAGAGTGTTGTACAGCCAAGAATATCTATTTCTTTGTGTTTTAATTACAGCAGAGTTCGCGTCATCGCCTCCATTACCTCTGCAAGGTATTGACGAGGTATCTGAAAGAAAACAAGAAGTTAGTACAGGCATCTCAGTCAACATAAAATATACAGGAAGCTTATCTTTTAACTTATATCCAATAAAAGCTGAAACACCCTTCAAAATACATCACAACATACACCAGGTTGTTCCCTAAGCATCTCTAGGATTCTCCAAACAGCGCTTTTTATTACTTGTGAGGTGCCAACAGCATACACCATAGTGATACCACAGTGAATACATCATGAGTAACTATACTTGTAAACCCACACATGAAGAAAAAAATAAAAAGCTTCCTACATTCATGTAGTTGTGGTTAATCACTTCTAGTCCTTACAGTCACAACACATTATGTATATGGAATACAAAATAATTTATACAAATAAATCACAGAAACAGCAACTTAAGGTCACTTAATTCTGAAGAATCCTGCATACTTTTGCTTACAGACAATTACAGTAACTATTACCTCTGTTGACTGTAAATTGACAATACCCTCAATCTGTTTCACTGCTTTCCTCACGCGGCTGTTAAGGGTTCCCTTTTATTTTTACGTGCCTCCTATACTTCAAGATGGGAGAACGAAAAGCAGGTTTTGTTTATAGTAGCAAAGAATTACCAAAAAACAGATTTAGGAGGCTGGCTCGACAGCACGCGTCACCCGTCAGCTCAGCAGTTTGTACGCCCGCGGTGCGAGGACACACGCCGCAGATGGGAAACCCGGCAGGCAGGAGCTTTGCTCGGGAACGGGCTCCTGCGGCACCGACCGCCGGTCCCTGCACCGCGCCCGCCGCGCAGGAACCC